TCCTTGTGGTCAGATGAGACGGAACACAGAATTGTTGTGGAGGCCCGTGTGGGGATCAGATGTGTGTGTTGTGTGTCCGGCTCGGTCCAGACATGCTGTGTGGCATTGAACACGCCTGTAACACGCGGTGGTCGTTGTTTATCCACAGCGTGCAGTCCTGCTGACTCATCACGCGTCCTGCTGTGAACGCTGCTCCGTCCACACATCGGTAAACGCTCACATGCAGCTGAACTAAAGCTTCCAGCGCGACACGTTAACAACACGGCTGCTGCTTAGAAAGGCCGTCAAGCAAAGATCATTAATAATGATTAACGTGCTTTTTTTCTGTTCACTCGCTGTCATGTCAAATTAAATAAAATTGGGAAAATCAAAGCGAGCTCAGAACACATGAAGTGAATGTTTTTGTCATCCATCTGAGCTCTGTCGGATCCACGCCTCCAAACCACAACTGAAGCAGCAGCTAGAAGACAATAGCACACTTTGACTGCACTCGTCAGTCCACAGTTGCTCAATGTTCATTTGCAGTCACAGCTCGGAGAACTGCGGTGGACAAATACGAACCTTGCTCAAGTTCGGTCGCTTTGTTTGAACAGCTGTCAAAAAGAAATCTTGTACATCTAAAGAAGCAGTTGGACAATTTGACCCAGAGCGGGCCGGTTCAGTCTCATGAGACCGGAGCCCGACCCTGTTGGGCCGACAGCTTAACATGAAACACGTCTATTTTGGATCAACAGTATTGAAAGCATGAAAGAGTCACGGGTCAATAATTCTGTTGAACCGCGGCTCAAAAGCAACGTCTGGTTTCATAGAATTTGTATTTATTATTACTTTTGTCAGATTCCAGTTGTTTCTGTGACCGTTGTGGGTTTTCTTTCACTAACCGACCGGTACCAGCCATGTTGTCCATGTGTGTCCTTCTTCTTATTGCAACCCTAACCCTAACGCCAGTACAAACGAGAACCACCATCTGCATTCATTCCAGCCCTCTAATCACCAACACATTGTGCAAGGACCAGGTTCCTCGGCGAGCCCAGCCCTGGACCACATCAGCCCACTGCAGCTCACCTGGTATCCCCCAAAGCAGAGTGTGACAGCATCTGCCCCACCTGTTTCCCTGAGCCAATCAGCAGCCTGCATAGCTGTACATCTGAACCTATTAAACACCCAGGTCTATGTCATGTATGTGGCTGTGAAGTAGTGCAAGCATTTGAGACGTTTACCCATCTCACATGTCCTGAAGTCCTTGGAAGGCCTTTATTGGTTCGACAACAGGACTCTGTCTGCTGTGGTGGAGGGACTGAGGTCTGACTTAGAGGGGATAGTCTCCATCCACCCCGACCCACTCTGCTCAGAGGTTACACCAAAGTGTAGGAAGGATATGGACTTAGTCAGATTTACACTACGCTGGCCTATAAACACCTTCTCCGTTTCCCTGCGAGGTGTAGGGCGGAAACAGGTGATCTGTGCTACGTAGGTGGAGAAAACTGAAGCTGTGTCCTCTTTAGGAAAGATGGGATGTAAAGTTACTGAACAGAGGGATGCTGTGTGTTTTCTGATTGAATGATGCAGATGTTTGACCTGCTGCTGGCTCTATGGACTCATGTGCGACCATTCAGAGGATGGAACAGGCTGCTCTCACATCTTCATCCTGTTGTTCTCGTTTGTTCAGATTTTAGGGTCATTATCACAACTTGCTATTCATAACACAACATTCACACTAAAACTCTACGTACACATTCACATAAATGTAGCAGCAGCTCAGTAGAACTGACTGGATGTGGTAACTGGCCTAAAAAGACAGTTTAAAGACCAGTCACATGGAAGCTTACCTCTCTGTACGCCGTAACTCGAGGTGGCCAAAACCAGCAGAGAGACTAACAGCACCGTCATCCTGGCTCTACAACGATCCATCTGAGCAAACCTTTTGGACAGGAACAGGAAAAGTTGGCGCTTAGATCCCCATGTCAGGTGAGGAGATGTTGTCGTCGCTTCACTCCTTGTGTCTCTGCCCTGTTTGCGTCTGCGTGACTTAACCAGGGACGGCCATGAGCTCTGAGCTCGACACCAACAGCTCCGTCACTGCCTGTGTGTGTGCTTCAGCTGTGACGGACGGTGGCAGCTGCTCGCTGTCCTCATGCACAGCCACTCAGATCCTGCAGCTCTGCTCTAAGCTCCACCGGCTCCAGAGTGCAGGAGGCTGTCCACGGCCGAGTGGTCAACAACAGCCTGCTGCCCATTAATCACACGAGCTGCACAAAGGCCACATTTACTTCTATGGTTTTATGGAAAATTCACATAAAAACATAGAAACGAAAAAGAAGTAGCTTCGTCTCATTTGTTTTGTCAACAACAGGAATCCACTTTTCATCAGCGTGCTTTATTTCTACAAACTGACATCTGAGTTCATGTGGAACCAAATCCAGGCTGCTGCTCTGCACAAAGTGTGTTACAGCAAGACAGACAGACAAGGAACAGAGCTGTCAGAGAACGTTCAGCGTCAGAATAAGATCAAATATTGTACATGTATGTATATATATACATATATAGATATATACACACACACACACACACACACATATATATATATATATATATACACATACATGCGTGTACAGTGTGTATGTGTTTGTGTATCTTCTTATTGCCAGTCATGGTCCAATGTGCAGATAAACATTATGAGTACATGTCAGCAGGTCAAACTCAGACCTGGGTGCTCATCACACAGCCTAACATGTAACATAGTGCCACACGGTGGTCCAGGAGGCAGCCTTTGTGTGTCCACCTGTCGCCCGCCAGCCTCTATGTCCTGTGTTATTTTAGGAAAGGAATGGCATTTCACTTCATTTGCTGCTCGTCCATTCTGCTTGGGATGGACTCAACTATTGTCGTGCTCCGGCTCGGTTCGCCTCTGGGCCTGTTTTTGAGCTTTAGCAGCTGTACCTGTTGATTTAGTGCATGCTATGGGCAGGTTCAGCGCTACAGCGCATGCCTGAGATTGCAGCAATGGCATCGGTTGTGTTGCTGCTATAAATCCTGTTATGCTCCGTTTTAGCAGTTTGAACAACCAAAGCAGGTCCACATAAAGGATTTTTAGGGGACTTCTCATCAAATACTTTGCACCCGTTTGACACCCATCTCCTTCAGATCAGGTAACAAACAGATGAGCTGCAGCACGTGATGTTGGCCATTCACACCACTAGGTGGTGCTGCAGACATGGTAATGAGTCAGCGTTCCCCTTTTACAGTCATCTTTACTGTGTCATGAAGGCGACACACCACAAAGTATCTCACTCACATCAGAGAAACAGCAGCAGACCAAAGGTGAGATGAAGACCATGCTGGTCTCAAACCGCCACTTCTCTGCCAGGAACCTCTGACTCAGTGGTTCTGTTTGATTCTGGTGCTTTGGCTCCCTCTGCTGTTGGGATCACAACTGGAGCTTCAATGCAGCCACAAAAACATGTTTAAAAGACTTTTTTTTTCCTAAAAGGGAGAAGACTTTTCAGAAGTTGGATGCTGTGGAGCATCTGTTGATGTGAAAGCTGACAGCTAACGGCTCCACCAGACGTTCTGCCCAAAGTGTTTACAGGACGTGAACCACATCATTTTGTAAATTCTTTGATTGTGAAGCGTTACACGACGTCTCTGGCTCTGACTGGAAGCAGAAGAAGTTGAACCAAGCAGCTGTTTTGTCCTGAGAGGGCGTGAACACGTCGGCATGGCTGACAGTCCCACGAGGCCCTGGTCTTACTAAAAACATCACACAACCTTTATTCATGAAAAATGTTTCTGGATATTGTTTCAGTCCAGTGGCTGTATTTCATTATTTAATTAGGACCTGCTGAACATCAGCACAATCCCCCGTCATCCTCGTCTACAGTCCCGTCATTGTTGGGAGCTTTTCCATACCTTAGAAACTGGCCAAAGGCAACTTGGCAGTTCCCTGTAATGTGTAGCCTTCTCTCTCTATCCAGGCACAGAGGCGCTCTACAGTGGAGTCATATCTGGTGTCGGTCAGCCACTCCCTCTCCACACTGTCTCAACGTGTTCTGCAATAATTAACCAGCAGCTGCGGCGTGCTGCACCTCCCACCAAACACACTGTACTCTGGACCTCTGAACTCAAACACACACACAAGCTGTCAAACATGGACTTCATCTGTTAGAAGACTGAAAGACGCACTGGCCAGGTAGGAGCTCATCTTTATGCGTTGTTGCAGCTTGTTGTAGAAGAACCAAACAGTGCCTCCTCTGATCAAATGAAATGGCTGATTTGTGGTACGCAGTATGATGAGAGCAGTGTGGCTTCACACCGAGACACTCAGGAAGGCAGGATGAGGATTCTTTATATCAGGTAAAGCAAAACAGGTGTGAAGCAATGCCTTTCCTTACCTACAGGAGGTAGATATTAAACCCACAAACCAGATTATTATGAATACGGTGACACAGACACTAAGTGGTGTGAGCTTGTTCATGGTAGTGATTTACTGTCACAATGTGCAACACATGCTTCTTATTCAAGTGACACTGAGCTTCAAAAACAAGAGAAAGGCCCAGAAGGCTGGAGTGTCAGCAGGGGGCACCAAACTAAAATACATACCGAGGTGGCATCTACGCCAGAGAAAGAGCGAGAGGCACTTCATCAGGTCAGCACAACGAAGGAAAAGACAGAAAGTAGAGCAGAAAGGTGGAGCGAACAGGAGGCAGGACGGGAGGAGCTGCTGCCTCGACATGACCCGCGGCTCGCTTCCTGCCCGCTGAGGCTTTATCAGGATCACAGCTGACAATAAAACAAGCTTGTTCTGTTTGTATACGCGCAGCTCCAGATAAGAGTACCAGAACCCGTCCAGGAGCAAGTGGAGCAGCTGGCTGTGGCTCCCGGAGCAGGAGGAAGTGACACATGGTTGTAAGAATAGTCTGCAAAGGGGCTGCAGCAGGGATGTAGTCTTTATTGTTGTAGCGGTTCTTCTGTGTGCTGATGGTGCTGAAAGTCCCTTCATCATCCCTCGGCTGTTTGAGCTTTGAAGATGTATGTGCAGGGTTTGATGTTAAACTCAATGCTGCTGAAGGCGTGTCCTCAGGATTTGTGACGTCAAACCGCTGGAGGCCAGTTCTGGTCTAATTACTTTATATAAGTGTGATGTGGAAACTTGAAGCTAACAAACACTGAGAGGACCTTCAGTTTAAAGGAAACACCTCCTATCTGGTAGTTAAGTGGAAGGAAAAGCTGAGCAGTCATAGTTTTTGGAGTTTTCTGTGTTGAGGGAGGAGTAGAGTCACTGGAAAATGAGTAAGCTGATGTCTTTTTAAATAGAAAACCATAACAAGCACAAATAATTCAAAGCTGAGCGCTTTTCTGTCTTTAAACACACCTGGAGGAGCTTTCCATCGACGTAGCATCAGCCATCGTACTTCAACAGAGAAACACCAGGTCCCTGTTGACTCATGAGCACAGTGTTGACTTTGCAGACTGTCCACTGAGCAGCACTTCTCCTTTTTGTTGACTTTGGTTTGCCTTTTGTCATGCCTGTGATTTAAACACACACGGGTCTGATGAAGTAGCTGCAGGGCACCTGAACGCCGACATGCTGAGGCTTGAACATCACACAGCGACGTGCACGAAGCAGCTCCAGTCAGAGAGACACGGTGGTGAAGCTGTGGACTTCATGAACATAGTGTTCTAAGACAAGACAGAGAACAACCTCATTGTGCTCCTGTAGCTTTTAAAAGCCTCGTTAAACATCATTGTGCAGGCGTCTCCACCAAAGCGCTACGTGTTCAGACACAAACACCCGGCAGGCGCTCGACCAGGATTCAGAAAGCCAGCAACTCTGACGCAGCAGCTGGCGGTTGAACGCTGCAGCGATGTGTCATTCACCTGGTCAGGTGCTCTCAGATCCTTGTTGGGAGCTAAAAAAAGAAGGCGGATTAAAGTGACTCTATATATATATATATATATACCTGGTCAGGTGCTCTCAGATCCTTGTTGGGAGCTAAAAAAAGAAGGCGGATTAAAGTGGCTCTATATATATATATATATATATATACAGTCAGGAAAGAATAATAGGAATCCTGTGTTCCTCTTCCTGAGCTGAGGAGGAAATAGAGCTGCTGGTTCTTGTCCTATAGCAGCTTGTTACAGATTCACTGTTTAACTCGTCCCTCCTTCTGTGTTCTCTACTCGTTATAAACGCACACTGACAGGGTTCATGTTCACATGAATCTGAGGTTGTAGTTTGCACTGATTGCACAACACGTATGTTGTACTTCTCTGTACGTTTATGACGTGTTCTGTAATCACCTGACCTGCAACGTGCACGACTTCCTTCACATGTGACCAATCATGTGTCACGATGGAGCGTTTTGTGATGAAACATTCACCCAAAGTTCGTGTCAAAACATGGACAAAGAAGACAAAATCCTATTTTTTTTCTATGAACACTTGTTAAAGTTGCGTAATGCACCTTTGTGCTGTTGGTTGGTCCTGCTGTCAGTCAGAAAGGGGAGGACAGCTGCTGAATACCTGAGATACTTCTAAACAGGCTGAGGCAGAGAAGCTGAGCAAAGAGGACGTTTGTGATGATTCGGTGGAAACAGAAGAAAAGGAGAGAAGCGGTGCTGGATAGTCCAAAGGCCTCGTTCACAGTGGCAGCCTTCAGCGTCCCTGACCGAAGGATAAACAAGGCTGGGCTCTACGCTGTCATCACTGGTTACTGGGTGGAGCACTGTTATTACATCTCTTAGAGACGAGCACAAAAAAAGAAAGTGTAAGAGTGAAGGCCTGGCTACAGAGAGGGATAAATATAACGCACACTTCAGAGGGAGGGAGCGACAGAAAGGCTGGAAAGAGATATTTAAAGCACACAAAGAAGAAAGACACGGAGACAAAGAAACAGAAGAGAGACGAGAGCTCTGCTTTGCCATGCGAGAGGAGGTGAGACTCCAACCATCTGGTTGTTTGTGGAAGGAGTGGCACCGCGTCGGCCGTGTCGTTCATTTATTTTAGAGCCACTCTGGTTTGAAGTTGACAAAATGCCGGTGAGCTGGAGCAGCGACGGCGACGTGCGCTCTGGATTCAACAAGTCTGCAGCCTCCAGCGTCCGTCCCTGGATTCACATCATATCTGCTGTCATGCTGCAGCCATGCGTACTCACACAAGATGTTTGTTCTGTCGTCTCTCTGCAGCAGCTGACCAGAGATGAATGAAGCAGCTCTGCTCCCAGTGATCCAGGCAGGAGACGGGAGGACGCTGTCCAGGTGAGGCACTTCATATCAAGGTGAAACTCAGTCTCAGTCTGAGTAAAGAGGTGGTTTTCCTCCTGAAGTTGTCCTCATTTCAACACCGTGTATTTTGTTATTGGTTGGTTTCAGAGCAGAGTTCCTCTCACTGCTCAACACCTACAACTGCTTCTTGAAGGACCACACTCAGCTGCACCTGAGCTGCTCTCAGGTACCATTTATGAGGAACATTTCAATGATCGTTTACAATCACATGTTTTCTCCCAGGTGTCATTGTTTTTGGATTAGTCCTGACTTTGCAGCATTACAGGAGACTAAATTTGAGTCTTAAAGCTTTTATATGTGCGATTTTAAACATGATAACATCGATGCTGCAGCCATCAAGTGTTTGATATGTGAAGATATAGCAGAGAAGATATATAGAATATATACATATAATGCAGAAGTTGTGTGTGCAGCCTTCACCCTAACAGCCTGCCCTGACTGCAGCCACCAGTCACAGCAGAGAATCCACTGCTTCCCTCTTGCTGATCCTAGTCTGACTTTCTCTGTTCTACGTTTTGGTAGCCGGCCCAGTGCATGTGAGTCCCTCCTATTGAAACTGCTGACTCTCCAACTTTATAAAGCCACTGAGAGTGACCTTCCACGCCTCACTGTAGAAGCCAAACTGCCGTCTGGAGCTGTTGGTGAAAGCCCTCGTGTGCACCAGGTTTCATTTCAGCTGACTCTGAGGTTCTGATTGAGTTCTGCTGTTCCACCGCGTGTGAACACCTTGTGCTGCGTGTCGTGGTGGAACAGACGGCCTAGAGCAGAGCAGACAGGAGTGGTGATGCTCCTCAGGCTGACAGCAGCAGCCTGTACAGTGCTGCTGTGTGCTAATGCTTGTGGCTGGTTTGGTTTTTATTTGCATTTCTGAGCACAACCTTTTCATTGCAAATGAAACATGGCGGGACTGGGAAGGTGCGGCCCGTCTGCCTGTTTGGATGGTCGTAGATGCTCTTGTGCAACATCCAGTGGTTCTAAATGTCGTATGCAGCCCCTCTAAAGAAGCTGGAGCTCATATTTAATATCATAGACTGTATAGCAGATGGACGTAGCTGCCGTGACGTCACCCGTTGGTTTCTGCACTGAGAACATGAAGCCAGGGTTTTGCTACTTCCTGGTTGACATCTTGGATTTTTGGAGCCAGTGATGCAAAAATCGTGGTAGGGGGGCGGAGCCATAGGAGCAGCGATTGGTCAGACGGACTGAGAGGCGGGCCCTCTCTGCCCCGCCCACATTTACCGCCTTCTGCTGGCTTCATCTGTATGGTCGCTGCCGACTGTCAATCAAGCCAGCCACGCCCCTTGCCCCACATGTTGATGATTTATTTAAAATTCAGTATTGATTTATTCTCAGATTGGCCACCTGATCTCTGGATCTGACCATGAAAACTAATAAGAAAACAATCCTGAGCTGTAGGAATGCAGTATTTGGTGATCTGTGATCACTTGTTTTCCAGTTCCAGTCTATGGGAGCCAGGGCTTTGTGGAGCCAGCAGCTAGTGGACGTAGTGATGCTGCAGGTTTTTGACAGTTCTGGGTTGGCTTCATTTTTCAGGTCCGGTTGCTACGTCCATCTTTTATAGAGTCTATGGTTAATACTTAATGCCACCTAGTGGACACAGTTCCTACTGCGTGATCATTATGGGATCTATGACTGCAATTATACACCATACAGGTGTCTGTGGGTGTGTCTCTAACAGGGCGAAGATGGAGAGGTGGTGGTGGAGGGCTTCCTGAATATCTCCTGGGGAGTGCGCAGGCCCATCAGGCTGAAGATACAGGACGACAAACAGATGCTTCCCTTTGCTCCTCTCATCTCCCCTGACCCCACCAGTCCAGTCAGCCCGCTGGGAAACAAGAGGTTTGGATTACTATTATCGATAAGCAATGAATGGGAACGTTTCCCCTGAAGAGTCCTTCAGGTTCAGCTCTACATGACTCTCACATGATCGATGTCTTTCCCAGCCGGGGGATGACCCGATGGGGGGAGTACGTGGACCTTCACCAGATAGATGAGATGGCGGAGACACCGCAGGACACAGCGGTCAGCAAACCTCCACCAGGTTGGTTTTGGTTCCCTTTATTATCTCCATTTTGTTTTTACAGCAGACTGGTTACCTGTCCAGGTGAACCTGCCCTCACCCTGCGATAGGCTCCGCCCCCCCACGACCCTAGTGAGGGTTAAGGTGTAGAGATGGTGGATGGATGTTCTCCCAGCAGCACTATCACTGCAGCATGTTGTGGATCCGTTCCACCAGTGGCTACAGATCGTACTCTCACCGTGGCCGGAGCTTCACTCGTCCTTCTGACTGCACAGACATTAAAGCATCTCGTGCACTGTTGCTGCTCACGCCACATGTTGGTTATCAGGCTTCTGTCTGTGTGTATCCAGCTGTTTACGAGACCACCACCCTGCGTCCTGTGAGGCAGAAGAACCCGGAGATGGAGGCCGAGTCCAACCTGTTCCGCTGTATGAGCGACGCCTCGCTGGTTAAGAGGAGGAGAGGAAAAGGAAAGTCGGCAGCACAACGAGAGAAAGAAAGACAGCATCGCTTTTCTATCAACGGCCACTTCTACAACTATAAAGTCAGTTTCACTCTTACAGCCACGTGTCCGTCTTTGCTCTTCACTCTTTAGCGTCTCGTTGTCTTTTACAGACCTCGATTTTCACTCCATCCCACGGTACTCCAACTAAAGTCCGAATCTCCAGCAAGATGACCACAAACCAAGTCATTGCACAGCTCCTGAACAAGTTCAAGGTGAGTTTGGTGGAGACTGTAGAACAGGTGACAGCGATGAATAGACACAAACATCGACTGCATTACAAATATAATAAAATCCTCATTGTGAAGTCATCCAGCTGCAAAATGTGCGTCCTGTATGAAGCAACGCGGTGGCTTAGATTTGCTTTAAGAGTGTGTAGTGTGGATTATTGGTTATGTTTGGCGTCCACACCTCTTGTAAAGGATCAGAACAGGCCCACAGTGCAGACGGTGAGGTCGTGTGAAGTGGAAATAAAGGCCTCATTCTCTGTGTTCATCCTCCAGATAGAGAACGATCCCCAGGAGTTTGCTCTCTACTGCATTCACCAGAGTGGAGGTAGGACATCTGCACAGCCAAGGATTCACTGAACGTGAGGAAAGCAAACATCAATGAGGTGTGCCTGTTTTGTCCAGAAAAGAGGAAGCTGAGCAACAAAGACCAGCCGCTATGGGAGCGAATCCTGCAGGGCCCGTCCGACGACATCATGAAGATCTTCCTGATGGACATGGACGAAGAGGAAGTCAGCACCGATGTGAGTGTGTTCCTCTGTACCTGAACGCACCGCTGACACACTGTTATAGATCAATTAGGTCCCTGCATGCAATTAACCTGTTTGGTTTAAAGTCAGATCAATTCTTTGAGGTCAGAAGGATCCACGTTTGCTCTGATGTTGGCCTTGGAGGCCACTGATGAAGACACGGCAGGTGGTGACTGAGAACAAACAGCTGCTGTGTTTCAGACGAGGGTTTTCAGTGACTGGTGCATTCAGAGGTCCTGCTTCCATCACGTTTCCTCTTTCAGGGAGTCGGTAAACGTGGAGCCTTCATCTGAACGCTTCACCTCTAAATAGTGGTTTCCAATTAAAATAAATAAATAATACAGACTTTGTCCTCCTCTGAGTCAGGCTTAGGCTTAGGCTTAGGCTTAGGCTCAGGCTCAGGCTCAGGCTTAGGCTTAGGCTTAGGCTTAGGCTGAGGCTGAGGCTTAGGCTTAGGCTTATGCTTAGGCTTAGGTTTAGGCTTAGGCTTAGGCTTAGGGCTTCTCCAGTTTCACTCCTGTCTGTGTTCTTAGAGGGTTTTTACTGAAGGGTTTAAAGGATTTTTGTATCATTCATCATCTGATATCAATAGATTTATATCATGTTCTTGCTCTTTTTAATGGATTTTCCTGACAGACCTGCTTCAGCCTGAACATGAGCAGGAATGAATGCTTTTATAGATCATGCCTCATTGGTGTGTTTGAACATGATGTGATTTTTAAAATAAATAATTAATTTAACGTAAGTAATCAACGTTTTCATGGTGACATCTTTTAGTTCATATTTTAATGACCTGTTCATCTAAAAGTTTTGTCCTTGACCTCTAAACACTCCTTTAAATGCAGAAATAAGAACAATTAAAAGTTCTTTCAGAGCTTCTTTTGCTCAGATTGTGATAACGATCACAGGATCTTTACCTGTAGACAAGACTCCAGGTGTTGTTGCTGTTCTTGTTTGTGACTGATTACTGCTCTTTGTGCTCCGTTCCTGCTCAGGTGGCTCAGTATCTGAACCTGGAGCTTCCCATCCTGGAGCAGGTTCTACTGAAGCTCCGAGAGGAGGAGAACAGAGAGATTCAGAGAGTCATCAGCAAGTCAGTGTCTATTCTTTCTCCTTCCATGTTTTCTGAGCTTCTCAGTGCTGCAGTGTGATGAACTTTACTGATCTATCACCTCAGAGAAACCTGAGCTCTAGAACCATGAAGATGTGTTGAAGCTCTTCTGCGTCTTCCTGCTCTGACGTCCATCCAGTGTGACAGACAGTCACTGCAGTGACACGCCCAGGCCAGGTGGTGGCGCCAAGGTTTAAAGTCTGATCTGTGTACATGTGTTTGTTTCAGGTACCACCACCAACACAGGCTGCTGTCTCACATGCTGAGCTGTAAGCTGACGCCTCACGTTGAGACCAGCGTCTGACGGCAGCTCCTCAGGACCTGAACGATGACAGAGCGGCTCTGGAGAACTCTGGAGAACTCTGGAGAACTCTGGAGAACTCTGGAGAACTCTGGAGAACTCTGGAGAGCTCTGGAGGGCTCTGGAGAACTCTGGAGAACTCTGGAGAACTCTGGAGAACTCTGGAGAGTCGAACATAAAACCAACACGTCGTCCAACATCCAGACATTTTCACCAAGAGAAAAATAAAAGGTTGTGAAACACAGAAGTGAAGGATTTGCAAAGCAGCACATGACCACTGATAGAGCTGCAGATAAATGACGTGTTGAGTGGAACAGATGGAGTCACAGGTTTTATCTACTATGTATATGTTTGCTTTGGTTTTTGAAACTCTAGGACAGGTACAGGACATGACTGCTGTCAGGCTTAGGTTAGGTTAGGGCTGCTGTCGATAACTGTACGTCAGTGTGACCATGAATAAATATGGGACCAGCTTGAGCACTTCTGCTTCGTCTCCTTGTTTGCTGAGGTCGAGCTGTGCCTCTGGGCTCATTCACACATTAATACAACTAATTACATAAACAAACTGATTATTAAAAGCTGAATAATTCAATTAGAACTTTGTCAAAATGGTGACCAGGGGCCTTATTTCTTTGGGGAGCCAGGATTATATGGAATACCAGCCAGTGCAGTTCTGACACCGCCCTGACGGTGGCGCTGCCTCGGAGGGATCTTATCAATGATCGGTGATGTTTCCTTCACTGGTATGTGCCTGTTCTTATGTTCTCATGCCGTAAGGACGTGACGTGTGTTATCACCAGGACAACATGTCTTCGTTCCTCCCTTCAGTCGAGACATTTTCACTTCCCACAACGTTTACAGGCAACTGTTCAAACTTTCCGTGTCCTCCGTGTCCTCCTGGCCAACCAGTACCTGCCCTGCCCTGCCCTGCCCTGCCCTGCCCTGCCCTGCCCTGCTCTAATTGTTCCCGTGGTTAACAGCCATCCAGCTTCACATAATTGTCTTTATTCACAGCAGCCAAGCCTCTGTTCTGGTTCTCTGCCACCGAAGCGGGTTACCGGGTCACTGTGCTCTGAAGACGTATGAGAGGCTGAATGCTGGAGGAACACGTGTCCTGGATTCAGAACCCAGTCATGAAGTTAAAGGGCGTCAACAAGCAGAATTAAGTGGATTAACCCTCAAGTGACGAGTTATTGGAGCAGCCGAGATGGAAAGTTCTGAGCCGTGGTGTTTTTATAGAGGAGTACTGTTGGTACTAATGGTTCTGTTTGTGTTGATTATACCTGCACTGGGTTTATCTGTTAAGATATTCTGAAAGGTTCTCATCTAAGTAATTATGGCTTTCAATCAATTTTTAATGAAAAAAAAAGTTTAAAACTCGTCTCCATTGTCACTTTAGGAGTTAAGCGTCTGCCGGAAGGGTTGGTCGGGTTCTGTAAGGCCCGGGATTCACTGCGAAACATTCGAGTACAGCTCGTACAGCGATTAGACGTGGAAAGCTACGGTACCGTCAAGACTACGGTGGTACAGGCAGATCAATGAAAACACATCAGTCTGCATTGATCAGCCTCCCTCACAGGTTTCTGTTTAACAAATAAAGTAAAATAAAATAAATTAGCACGCTGGCTGTTGGGGGAGAATTTTTTTGAAAGACTGAATTTTTTATTTTTATTTGATTTTATTTTTCTGGTGATTCACCGTCACGGTGGTGCACAAAGATAAACACAAACATTCAGCTGGTTGGTCCCGCCGACCTAGAGCTGCTTCAGGGAGATGAAAAGGAGGCGACCTGGATGTTGAGAGGTTAGAGCAGGGGGGTCCAGTCCTGGTCCTCCAGGGCCACAGTCCTGCATGTTTTAGATGTTTCTTTCTTCCAGCACACCTGATTCAGATGATCAGCTCATCATCAAGCTCTGCAGAAGCCTGATAACCATCCTGATCATTTGATTCAGGTGTTAGGGTTGGAAGAGGGACACATCTACAACATGGAGGACTGTGGCCCTCCAGGACCAGGATTTGACCCCCCTGGGTTAAAGTATTTAACCACAGGTCCCCAGAGCTCAGAGAAACCCAGAGTCCAGTCCATGTCGTAAGTCCTGGTGGTGTGGTGGTCCCAGTTAAAGCGCCGATGAGCTCATTTCTCAGTGCGGTACCGAGACTCCCTGCGGACTGTGAACATGACGTGGAACCTCTACGAAGCTGACGTTCCTTCAGCTCAGCAGCAGGTGAGCAACACGTCCATCCACAGAGGCTCTGAAGGAACCTGGTTCTCATTTAGAGTTTAATACTGAAATGTGGTTCTCAGCGTTAGAAATCCACCATGTTGCACCTTTAATGGACAATATAATAATAATATCCAGTTCTACACCTCTTCTCTCCAGAGTCTGGTGTGTGTCTGTAAACAACTGGAGACGCTGTGGTCCCTGAATAATGACGGCGTGTGCAGCGAGCAGCGCTGTTCAGTGGCCGAGGCTTCATCACGGCCTGCCAGCCCAGCCTCACATTACCCAGCAGTGAGTCTGATTTTCCTCTGACATGATGAATGACTACATGAGAGAATATGGCCTCTGGTTAGTTTTACTGAAGGATAGAGTTTCCACGCGATGGCCGCCAAACGGCTTGGCTTTGAGTCAGTGGAAAGAGTGTGTATGTCGGGGACACGGCTTTCTGTGGAGGAGATGTTGGTTGGCTGCTCCTCGGCTCAGAGAAAATCTGATCTCCATGCCAGTACGTTAAATCTCACTCCGGCTGATGAGACGTCTCCACAGAGACGAGCGGCTGTGTGATAGGAGCACACGGACAGAATCCTGTCTGGAGACGCAGCAACCTGTTGCCGTGAACAGCTTTTCTACAACCGCTGCAGTGAAATACGTTCTTATTGCAGCGTGCATGGCATCAGAAACAGGACATGTGACCAGCTGGCTGTAAACCAGTGCACTCTGTTCAGTCTACATTAAGCCTGTGTGCTTTTGTGATGTTCACACGTTACTTAAATAACCTAAATGCAGTGATAGTGCAACACCAGTGCTTTCTGATTCATAAATCATACAAACAGATCCACACACGGAGCTTTTTGTGTCTTAGATGTTCAGACTTTCCAGGTTGAGGGAGTTGCCTCTTGCAGCTTAGCCCTAAAATGTTTGCTCGTAAGGGTTCATTGTGTTCTTTACAAGCCTGTTTATGGTTCCTCCCTATTTAGCTGCGAGCGCTGACGTACTGAGCAGCTTCCTCCTGAGCTCCAGCATCCACAGAAGCTCCAGCATGACGACCATGAGTTGTGCCATTGAACAAACGATATGGAAATATTTAAAATCTACGTTTTTTTAATCAGACATCAAGATTTAAAACAACCACAAACCATCAATTTTATTTGTTTGATTTGTTCATTTTCATACCAAACCACACGTCCGTTACAGCCACCGACTTAAATCAACTGGAAAACATTAACAGAAAAAGAAAATGGAATTTAAAAAATCAATGTGAAGAAGATGCCAAAGCTACTGAGTCCCAGTAGAACCTTAGGCCTTCTCTGGCTTCCTGCACTTGGCGTTGTGCAGCTCGTGTTTGCTGTTGCGGAGGTTGAAGGACACCAGGAAGCGGCAGTTCAGATACTGTGGAAGGACAAACATCAGCAACGAGCAGATCAGCAGGAGAAAGCTGTTGTCCTCACATCCTCTGCTTTGGGTAAATGAGCTACCAAGGTGTTGCTTTATGAACAAATCTAGGACATGAAAGCTGAGTGCAACAGACTGAGCTAATCATGCTTGTGTTGAATAGAAGTTCACTGAACATACAAACAGAACAAACGGACCTTTGTGACCTGACTGCAGCTCTCCAGGTCGCGGGCCTCCGAGTTGACACACTTGGTTTTTCCCAGGACGACATCGATCTTGAAGTTTATCATGTTGGTCACCTACAGAAACGAGCAGACACAGGACAGAACTGTTGGACTGAGCGGTTTGGTTGGGTTCTGGGGCGGCGACAGGATCTGTGGACACGATGGATCCAACCTGGACGTGAGCGCTGGTGATGGACATCAGCTTGAACGTCCTCTTGCGGTTCGGCTCGGCGTTGAACGCGCTCATGGCGTGCTGGACTGCGTTCTGAACATCAACTGACTCTGGACTCTTTTCAGACCAGCCACCCAGGAGAGGCACCTTCTCTGTGAGGACATTAAACACACACACACGGTTCTGTTCTGTTGGCGGGTCATAAATAACTGACTGTCAGCCTGCATGGTCTCTGATGGTCTCTGCCACAACATGACACACGTCCATAAACACAGCGATTCTCATTAATGAACTGTGTAATTGTGCTATTGGACCCACTGTTGTTTCAGTCCAGAACATCACTCAGACCACCAAACTCTGGGTTGAGCTGGTCCTGCTCTGCCAAACCATCTAAACCTTTCTGCCAAACCAAGCACTGATCATCAGGCCCACGTAAACAGAAGTAAAGATTTATAGTTCAGTTCCACCTCTTGGACCTTGGGTGGCCCGGTCCATCAAAATGTTGCTGGTTTGGGGGGGGTTGCCGGTTTTGTGTGAGTTCTACAGTACCAGTGTTTAGCATCACATAGCATATTTAGGAGGAACGCTACTGGCTGGTCCAGTCACTGCTGCGGTCCAAACTGAAATATCTCAACAGCTACAGATGGAGGGCAGCAAACACTGGAGGCCCTCAGAGGAAAAACCTGGGTCACATATGTTGACAACCGCCACGCTAATCAACCATATGCTGTATCTAAACCATGTTCATCGCCTCCAAGGATGTGCCTGAAACCTGAATTCTTTCTAACAGCCAGTTGGGGGCGACACCTCTGGTTGCAGAAAGAAGTCCAACTGCAATCAAGTAAATGAGAAAACGAGCTCACTTGTGCCTCGATGTGTTTCCTCAGCAAACATGTTCTCAGTGTGTTTATGATCCCAGATGCAGTCCCATCATGGTCCCATTGGAGCTGACCAGAGGACACAGTGGGGACGTCTGGAGGCAGAGCTGCTATGGCTTCAGTCGGATCCACTGCTTGCATCACATCCAGTTTCAAAAGACCAAGATGGTGACAGCCAAATGCCAGACTCAGAATCTGCAGTCCACATACCAACAGATGATGTCGTGGCTGCTTTGCCTGGCTGGTATGCTGCTTTGGTCCATGCAGAGATGTCTCAACAGCTACTGGATGGATTCCAGTAAACCAGCACACAAATCTGTGTCACCCTTAGAGGACAAACCGGACTGACCTGATTGTAGATGTTTGTGGTTTTGGGTGAAATATTTGAACAACTACTAAAGAGATGTCCCTTAGATTTAGTGCTAATTTACAATGTTGGCACACAAACCAGCAAAGATCCACAAGACGTGAAGCACGGTAAACATCCCGACTTGTAAACGCCGACGTGTCCACGCTGTCGTGAGCATGTGAGGCTTGCTGTGGTTGCTCTCAAGAACAAATCAGGTGTAACTCACTGACTCCACATGGACCTTAAATGCTGCAGGAGCCTGGGAGGCTGACAGGCCTGTTTGTGTTGCCACCAGGCAGTCACTCAGTGCTCCATTCACACTCAGGTGTGCACAGAAATAAAATGCATCACACCTCAACAAAACCATGAAATGCAAAACAAAAAGAACCACACCGAGCATTGCACTCGGCTTCAGAGGTCAGAACGAGAACATGTCTGAACCTTCAACCCACATCTGTACTAGTTCTCACTTAATGTGGACTTGCCCTTTAAAAGCCTGTCACTGAAGCATGTAGCAGGGCTGTGTTAGGTGTGTGTGAGAGGAAAGGCCTCTGTGGTTATGAAGTGACTGAATCCTTCCCACTGTGGACTGCACGCTACATCATGCTAATTACAGAGTGAATGCTGGTTCTGGCCCTGATGGATTATTCTTTTATTCCTAAATGCTCCAAACCAAACGCCACTAAGCCAGACTAAATGGTAAGGGGAAAACCATGACTTTATCGGACTTCTGGCTGATCCAGTGTTCTGACTCAGTGTAGCCAACCAGACCTGCCGTCACCGTCTGCACGCCCAGGACATGAACAGCTCGTCTAGCCATCGGCTCACACAACTCAAGGCTTTCACGGTGCAGTTTGTTTCCCAGCGAACAAAAGCTGTAAGGCTGAATCCCTTTCAGAGTTTAGAACCAAATGTGACACCCAAAGTCTTCTGATCGTACACAAGTCGTGGTGTTTTCCGTCGTGTCCTGTTGTCTGTGCGTTCAGATAGGATCATACTATCTGATGGACAGAAGCCGACTTCTGGTCACTCCTCTGAGCTGTCATCTAGTTTTGGAATTGTTTTTAGATGTTTGCATTTTATTTAAAACGTGCCAACTCTGTCATAGTATTTAATTATTTTAATTTATTCTCAATCTGTGACTCAGCTGTAAAGTAAAATACAACCATATATATTTTAAGTCACATTACCAGAGTTGCAAATCCTATTTCTTAATAAAATCCAGTCTTGTACAGTCGGTCATGGTATCTGCTCTTTCTTCCATGTATGCCTCCACAACTCTGCTCTTCCTTCTTAGGTTTCTCATCACTACTTACTGGTGGTGACGACCTCCCCGGTGGTGACGACCTCCCCGGCAGCCTCGTCTCCCACGCACAGCTGCACCAGGCACAGACACATCAGCACTGACAGTGGCACAGACATCTTTCCCTGTCGAGCAAACTGGACGTCAGATGAGCAGAAACGCTTCACTGGAGATGAGGCAGTTGCAGGCGTCCCGCAGGATTGGCAGCAAACTGGTGTGTCCACATCCACAAAGAGGTTAAGGAGAGAAGACGAGAGAGGGAGGATTACTGGAAACTTGAAAAACACAGTAAAACCAGAAAGTTAATAAAGAATACCGATGGAAATAGAGCAACAAAGAAAGACTACAAGTACCTTTCTTTGATAGAAGCGGACCCGGTGAATGCTGGAGCTCGGCTGAGAGGGCTTGTGTGAGTCAGGCAGCGCTGGTGTGAGTGGAAGCCTGTGACTGTTCAGCATTTAAGCTGTGGTATGTTGAACAAGCCAGTGAAGGCCACACCCAGCTGGTGCCTGGCAGTGACGCCATGCACCCAGCAGCCATCAGCGGCCTCACTGTGAGTGTGAGAGGAGCTGTCACCGTGCACGGCTGTGCTGTTGTGTGTGCTGGTGTTGCACGGCTCTGTGTGTGTTTCATAGCCTGTATAACAGATGGACGTAGCTGCCGTGACGTCACCCGTTGGTTTCTGCACTGAGAACATGAAGCCAGGGTTTTGCTACTTCCTGGTTGACATCTTGGATTTTTGGAGCCAGTGACGCAAAAATCGTCTGAGGGGGGCGGAGCCATAGGAGCAGCGATTGGTCAGACGGATTGAGAGGCGGGCCCTCTCTGCCCCGCCCACATTTACCGCCTTCTGCTCGCTTCATCTGTATGGTCGCTGCCGACTGTCAATCAAGCCAGCCACGCCCCTTGAGCCGCAAAATGTTGACGATTTTTTAAAAATTCAGTATTGATTTATTTTCAGATTGGCCACCTGATCTCTGGATCTGACCATGAAAACTAATAAGAAAAGAATCCTGAGCTGTAGGAATGCAGTATTTGGTGATCTGTGATCACTTCTTTTCTAATTCCAGTCTATGGGAGCCAGGGCTTTGTGGAGCCAGCAGCACGCGGGCTTCATGTTTCAGGGCCGGTTGCTACGTCCATCTTTTATACAGTCTATGGTGTGTTTGCATTCATGTGCGTCCACTTGGTCTGGCTGTACAGGAGGGAACGAGTCACTTTGTGATCTGACTGTCAGGTCTGTCGGCAGGCAGTGAGCCACAGAGCCAACGACAGCGCACGCCGGTTTGGGTTCATCAGCACCATGACCGGACCGTGTGTTATCATGGGATCAGCTGTTCTCGTAGCGCTGATGGTGGTGGGACCCAGCCTTCATGCTGACAGACAGGAGAGTGATGCTTGATTTGGAAGATGCTTCTCTCTAAGTGTCAAGATGTAATTCTTATAAACAGTGTATTTGTAATGTCCTTTTTTTCCTGCATGGTGCTCCCAAAATACTTTTTTTCCCCTCCAGCCTCATGTCTAAAGAGTTTTTATTGTGTGACAGTAAACGTGCATTAACCTCTTCAGACCGAGCTGGTGTTTGATATGCGTTTTTCATTTGATCTGATCAAACAGCAAAGAGAAATGAAAAACAAAAATATATAGAAAGAAAATAAAAATATATTTTAAAAAGTCTAAAGATATTTTAAAATAAATAATAAGAATAATGATAATAATAATTATTATTATTGTCGTACACACCTGACATTTTGTGAGCACAAACTACAGGAGGTGGTGATTAAAAGTTATCACAACCTTCCCCAGATGAGGCCCAGTTTGGAAATGGCGGCCCGTGCAATTTCGATCAATGGCCATTTTGGCCATTTTTGCTGTGTTTTTGGCATTTATCACAGTACTGTCGGAAGGCCACAGCTACAAGATTCGCTGGGCATGTGTAGCAGGTCAAGACGCACAAAAAAGTCAATCAGCACCAAGTCCTAAACCCAACAGGAAGTCCGCCATTTTGAAAACACACGCTGAGAATTTTGGCGAAGTTGGCTGACTTTTGGCCATTTTTTGGCCATTTTCAGAATCTATCTCCTCCTACAGGGAAGTTCGTACACACCTTACAGTTGGCCAGCACAAACTACAGGAGGTGGTGATTACACGTTAGTAAAACGGTCCGCACAAGTGTGACGGCGTGGAAATGGCGCCCCCCTGAATTTGGCCACAACGCCATAAAACACCACAATACCAGACTGTGCTCCAATCGGCCTGAAATTTTACACGCGTGCTCCGAGTCTCAGCCAGAGCACGTTTCCACCCCGGCCAACACGCACGCCGCCGCGGCTCGCCACTAAACAGGAAGTGGCTCGTAACTAGGCCACACTTTCTCCGATCTGCCCCAAACTCGACATGCCGGATCACAGTCCCGCCGTGCGCGAAGGCCGACAAGCGTAGGGCGAGGACCCGTCCATCGCCGCTTGCGGCTTTAATTGTTTTTGTTGTTGTTATACAAGATACAGCGCTGTGGTAACGTAACCCTGAATGTGGTCTTTCCAGTCCCAGTAATGGTGTGGCTCTGGGGATGGCAACACCAGTTCTCACCACTTTGGTTTAGACTGAAATATCACCGACTACAAGTACGAGTTCATTTCCTTCTGCTTTAGCGCCACCTGCAGGTTAAACATGTCCACAGAGCTCAGAGCACTCTCAGTCCACACATCAAGTTGTTTAGTTTCATCTGGATTAGGCTGACCCAAACCCCATGTCTTCTCTTCTACAATGAATTGTACGTTTGTGCTGCGTTTTCGAAGCAAATTCAGACGGAACAACTGATCCAAACTTGTCAAGATGACCAAATCCACATTTATCCACATCCAGGATATATATGTATGTATATATATATATATATATCTGTGATGGGCTTGATGTCTACTTTATCTGTACTGGTTTAATAAATCAACTGAGAAAAAAGTTTTTTATACTTGTTTTTTTCAGAGAGTCCGCCTGAATCTTCTCTCTGCTGGGATCAGGACAGTCGTGATGTTCTGGATCACAGAGATCTCAATTTGTCTGAAAAAATTTCAAAAGCACACACTGAAGGTTCGGTCCGGATCCAAAACGAGACTGGACTATGTGATCTAATCTGATTTCAGAATCCTGTTTCACCTTTTAAACCATACAGTTTGAAACCTTGATCAGATGTGAGAGCTGAGCTCTGACCAGATCACTCCTGAGGAGCTCTGCTGGGAGGATGGATCCTGGTGACTCTGGTGGTGATGAAACCAAAGTGCAGCTGTGGCCTTTAATAAACTGCTTTATGAGCGGTTTTCAGCACGTGGCCAGAGATTCCACCACCGTCTCATAAATACTGGAGGGTTTAACGGCACACCTCAGACTCAAGCAGCTCTTGGCTCAGCCGTGGACTTTTAGAAGATGTGGCCAATTCGCTGTATTTTAAATCCCCACTGATGTGTGTGCTTTTCTGTTGGTTGTTAGTTTTGCTGCCTTCCCACTCGTCCTGTGCAGGTACGAGTGAGGCAGCTGACCTTTGTTTTGTACAGACAATGTGAATGAAAGCGATTGTGGTGACTGATGACATGTCATTGGACTGAGAGCAGCACATGAGCTGGTTGGTGCACAGACGCCTTCACAACATGCACACAGCTGCAAACCTCCCTGTTCTGCCAGACATGCTGACTGTAAGCAGTCAAAATGTCCAGCAGAGGGAAGCAACACCACATCACAAGATGCAACAGGTGGTTGACGCGCCAGGTGACGGTATTTGCATAACCATGAACACAATGACAAGGATGGCAGAAGAGCCGTTATCCAGGGCAAATGGTCAGCGTTCTCCTACATTTGAGATCATGTGGCCTGCCGATGACAGCAAATGTCCTAGAAAGGTGTAGAAAAGGCCTTGCCCTATGTAGACTACTCATTCTGGGTTTCAGAGAGCCAAGAAAACATCCCCATCGGCTGTAATTGACCATAAATCCACATATATTGTAACGTTTCTACTACTAAAGGCATAAAAAAAGCATCACTAAGAGTTGTAAATGTTAAAGAGGAAGAGGATTGACTTCCTGTTTCATTTTTTATGATATATATGTAATATAAACATTGCTAGTTAGAGGTCTATTTGGATGAACAAATACAGACGTGTTAGGATCAGAGAAGCGGAAGATAAATCATGTAAAAGTTAGAAGTAAGGCGACATCAGCAAAGATGTTTAAATGGCCCATAAAGACCAGACAGCTCTCACATAGAAGGCGATGAGGCAGACGGGAACCAAATGGCAGCTACGTTAGCTCACACAAAGCAGTGCAGCAGATGGACAGAAAGTAAAGCCAGGCTCAGAGACAGAAGCCTGCAGATGGATAACCGGTCAGAACGTGAGAAGCAGGTGCAGTTCAGTCCAACGATCCAAAGATCACAGAAGATTTTAATGAAGGCTTCCTGAACCGACAGAAAACAACCGGCGTGAAGCTCTGAGCCTGTGGTTGAACTGGATGACGTGCGCGGGGCAGATAGTTGCCCTCTGTAGGCACATTTACATACAAATACATGAAAACCGGCACAAATCAGCTGATAAGCCAACATGCAAGGAGGCAAGCAGCCAAACTCAGCGGCTCTTTTGTGTTTTAGGCCCGGCTGAGGATCACTGGCCTCCTAATGAGATGTTACTGTCACTATTCCAAGCTCCAACTAACGGGTCCGGGTCAGCAGAGGGGGCCGGCTGGATCGGATGGAAATTGGAAATCCCCCCTTTTTTTTTCTCCAGTGGAATAATTGATGTCATTCTTATTTGGCTGATGACTGACTGGAATCCAACAGTTTGTGTTTAAATTGTTCCCGTTCGGTCCGTTAATCATAAATATCAGTAACAAGCGACGTGATTGGCTGTTTGTGCTTTTGGGGGGGATTGGGGTCAAAGGTCAAAGTAGCTTCAGGAGTAAACAGCCTAAAACAGAGCGAGTCTTGTTCTGATTCTGCCGTCAGTGATGAGAAAAAAAGGCTCTTTTGGTAAATGTAGACTTCATCTGATCAGACTGACGCTGTTGCATTTACTTTTTATTTATATGACATGAAAACTGATTCACGGTGCTGTTGCTGACCGGACAGTGGAAGTCTTTGGATAAAAGGTGTCACAATAATGCAGGACTGGAAACCTCAGGTAACCACTGAACAGGCAGACGTCCACTGAGGCCGATGCAACACGTCAGGAGTGAAGTTTCTGTTAACACCTCATCACAGAGAGCTTTTGTCATGTGATCACTGTGATGCTACGACGAGCAGCCTGTTGTAACGCACTGCACCACCTTGACGGATGTGTTTTTCCATTTACATTCATGAGGGAGGATAAAAGGTCACTGCTTCGGATAATGAGCTGTTCCTGCCAACCAGTTTATCGTCTGCTAAATCACACAGCACATTACTCATTAATGGATCTAATGTGTTTACGTACTAATCACAGTGCAGGGGACACAAATATATAAAGACAGACGGAAATCAGGGTTGCGTCTAGCAGAACGGATCAGCGGTTCACCTGTTCAACCCAGTGACACCTGGGAAAGCTTGTTCTGCTTCCACCCACACGTGGAGGGATTACGGGATTGACTTTGTTATCCCCACTAGATGTGTGTTGATATAAAAATCCCCCTGACAGCCAATCTGATGTGTTTGTGTTGAGTTAGTTGTGAAAATGTGCATTTGAGGGCTTGTTCAGTGAATAAGCTTAGAGACGGGCCACACAGTTTATTCACAACATCACTCATGTCCTCCTCATTCATTACTACAAATAATAATAAAGAAAACGTGTGATCTCAGCTGTCCCGGCACCTTCACTTCAACTCTGGCAAAAACTCATCTTTGAAATAAAAACTTGAGTAAAGAAGGTCCGGTAGAATCACAATCAATGCACATATTTTAAACAAATCATCAATTCATCAATAATTCTAGACATTTGAACTGAGTCAATAATAGTTTGATCTTAGTTCCGTTAACGTTCTCGTCTCTTCAGCTCAGGAGAAGAAAGGTGGAGGAAGGTAGGCCAAATAAACGCAACAACAATAATAATGAAACAATAACTAATCATTAATGTAAAACATCTGAACTGAGCTAATAAGGCTGAGACAGTAGGCCAAATTAAATCAGCAGTAAAACCTGAAACTACTGATGTCAGCTCAGCTGTCTTAGTGAAGCATTTGATCTCCGTGAACTACTTCAACTGAGTCAAATAAACCTAAATAAATTTACATCAATAATAAAACAAATGATCACCGAGTTAATCATTCTTTTAATTCTTTTTTAAAAGTAACGAGCAGCTCCCAAACCCTTCATAGGTCAACCTGCTGCTCACGTGTTCTCATTTACTCTGTTGTTTATGAACTTAATGTAGAAACAGACAGTTTTACACACAGCTAGCAGCTAGCAGA